GTTATTCCTGTGAAGAGGCTTAAATACTAGTACTTATTATTGAGATATAATGTGAACCAATATGATATATTATAATAACAATTTACACGTAGTTAATGTTGATGTATATTCTAAGATTCCACGAGATGAGCAGGAAGAGTGTTTCATTGAACCTACGTCATCACATACTCATGTCATCTTGGCAACGAACATAGCTGAAAGTTCACTGACCTTACCCAAATTACGTGTTGTGATCGACTTTGGATTATTCCGCGATGTGAGATACGATGATAGGTCATGTACGACGCAATTAGTTACCAAATGGTATGCCAAGGCTAGTGCTGCACATAGAGCAGGTATGGTAGACTATATATAGACTTGATATTACTGTACACTCGCGATGACAGTGTGGTTGTCAGCCCGTGCCATGGGGCATTTGTATACTGAAGGTACGGCATATGTAGTGCGATAACAAAATATCCCCCTTTCCACTCATTTAATAATAAAATACCCATCCATATCTCAAAGAAAACGTTATTTTTGAACTACCTTATTTTAGTCCAGGAATTTAAAGATACGTGGTCTTCTTGTTTTGTTTGACACCTCCGTGCATGTTGGATTCAGATAGTATAACTCCCAAAACAAGATTTTCCACTGTCAGAATAATTTGGTTTTTCACAAACATGTGAACTTGGAATCATGTACCCTTCTCTCCTCGCAATTCAGAAAGCACATGCGTATTTCTCACCCATCCTAATCCCCTCCCCTCCAAAAAAAAAACGCTTAATACATCAAACAAAATACACTAAACCAATATTAGAAATCTAAAGTATTTTAAGGACAATTCGATGGTAACCATGGAAACTACATAAAATAACCTAATAAACAAACACAATTATATTATTATATTATATTTCAATAGTTATAATATCGACATGACACAAACAACAAAAACTATCGCCAAGCACAACCATGTTATTTAAGACAGAACCGCCAACGGTTATACGGTTGTATTATCATGAATTTGTTTTTCCCGTATCTGTTAACCGACTTAATTAGCTGATTACGAGCGAATTGCTGTGTTATGTCTGTCATCGTTTAGGCCTATTTGAAGTTTTGGACGGAACTTGGCTCAGTGATTTGGAACTAATTACGAGGTAACCATCGCTATTCTGACTACGATTTCTGACAGTTGGTATTCGTAGTTATTAATGTAGTGAACGATTAATCAAAATATATGACGTATTCAGTGTTTAGTGTGATTGGCCTTATGATTGAAGGTTACGCCCTAGAGTCTTTTTACTGTTTTGTAATTGGTTAGAGTTTTGAAAATGAATAAAGAGAGTTTGAGTTGGTCTTGGCGAGTACACCAGGACAAGTGCAGTCCTGGAGAGCCTTGGGGCGAGTGAGACGCAGTCCTGGACAGTCTTGGACAGAGTCTTGAGTCAGCCTTGCGATAGTCTTGGGGATTTTTCCCCAGGGCGCCGTGTCTTATAGAGTGCTCGAAAGACCGACTAAGACGAGAGTTGAAACGTATTTCGCTGTGTGTGCGTCTTATTTGACTGTAAAGTATAAGTATAAGTATAAGTACCTCAAGGGGACGCGATAGAGAGACGAGACGAGATTTCCCCCTGACAAGTGTGGAGATCCCCATAGAGGAGAATTTACCCCTGATAGTATATCTGAAGTATGCGACGTGTATGTTAGGGGTTTCGCCATTAGTCATGTGTTCACGTATATTTATATTGGCAGGGCGTACTGGCAGGGTGTTCGAAGGAAAAGTTATCAGACTGATG